TGCTGTCCCACAGGTGTCCGGAGCAAAGCCATGGAGCACAGGGGCAGTGGGACAGCCCAGACGCGTCTGGGCTGTCCGCTGCCCGCGTGCTCCGCTGCTTTGCTTCCTCTCTCTGGTCTGCTGGAGACCAGGGAGACGGCCCCGTTCATAACTGCGGATCCGACATAAGTCATATCCGCGTAACTCGGGGACTGCCTGTATTTGTTTTTACTTGCTTATTTATTTGTTGTCTCTGTGGTGACAAAGCACAAAATATACAGGTTCAAAAGTGAAACTCAGATGTCTCTGCATAAAAATAAATATTCTTATAAACAATGCAGTTTTGCACACATTGTTTAGTTGCACCAGACGTTATTAGTAAGGAATCTGAATACCATTTTTGTTACCATATCCTGGGTTTTGAGGGGGTCTTTGCTTCTCATAACTGGTTTTCCTTAATTTGCTCTCCATCAGGGGAATTCTTGGACTTGGCTCTAATTTGAACTTGTCCTCTAAATTGAGGACAATTGTTATGACATACTAGTAACACCCTATTTATTTTAAGGAAATGTATTGTAAATAAGTGGGTCCCTATCACTGAGGAATCAGAGCACGTCACAATTTTTAATGCTTTTATCCTATCCTCTCAGGTAGGAAAATGCTATCATTCACGTTTCACAGCTGAGGAATTGAAACACCGAAAGACTGACTTGTCCAGGTTATCTGTGGAAGAGCAAGGTATTGCACTTGGGTCTACAAAGTTTCAGGCTAGTACCCTAACCACTGGACTACCTTTCCTTTGTCAAGAAGGTTGCTAAAATGGCACCCAAAAGATTTACATCGGAGCAGTTTATTTTGGCATGTTAGCAGATGAACTACACTTCCATAAATCCTGTTTGTGCTAATGCAGTGTATCTACATTAGGGATTGGCACAGGTGTAACTATATTGGTGTACTTGCACTGACCTGAATTTCCTTACTGTAGACAAGGCCTAAGAATGCCTCTAACTTAAAAAAGCAATGGGACCATGTGAACCTTGCAAGCAATTTAAAGGAGTTGGCATAACATACATGCACACTCAGGATCTGATTTGCAGTCCATTGACTTAAGTGGGGCTTAGATGAAGTCCACGCTGTCCTAAGGCTTGATCCTTTTCCCACTGAAGTCATTTGCCCCTTTATCATAAACATTTCAAAGGTATTTCCGTGCCTAATGACGCAGATAGGTGTGTAGTAGGGGTATCAAAAGCATCTTAGCAGATTAGCTTGGCTCTCTGAAGTCACTTAAACAGTTTTAAAAATTTACCCCTTGTCTGTTTTAGTGAAAACTTAATGTCTTTTCTTGCTAATTTAGTGTAAACAGTTTTTCAGTAGTACATCTAATGCGTCAGCTGCTGCTATCTAATATGTTATTTCCACTGTCAGAGAGAAAAAGATATTGATTGTTTCCTTTCCTTTCCTGGATCCTGTGTAACCGAGCTGTCTCCTTCACTGCATGGAAACCTCATTTACTCATTAAGTTGAGCTGCTTAATTAAATCAGTAGAAGGTTGCTAATTTCATTGTGTCCATTCAAATGCTTAAGTACATTTATTGTGCCAGTAGAATTGTTCCAGTTGTTTAAGGAGACATTAGTACAGGCATCTCTTTAAAGGAGCTTTTGCTTAGTACATCTAGTTTGTCACACTTTCCAACTCAATTAAAAATAATCAGCATCATGTTAAAAAAGTAAGCATCTCTTAATATTGTACTGGCACTGTAGAGTTAAGGCTGTGAGTCATTCACAGAAGGCATGGGTTCTATGACTTTTGGGGTATGTCTAGACTGCATCCCTCTGTCGGCAAAAGGATGCAGACTAGGCAGATCGACATTGCAAATGAGGCAGGAATTTAAATATCCTGTGTCTAATTTGCATAAAAATGGCCACCGCGTTTTGCCGACTCAGCACTTTGTCCGCAAAAAGTGGCAGTCTAGAGGGGGATCTGTCGAGAAAGAAAGCCTTTTTCGACAGATCCTGTAAACCTCCTTGCAGGAGGCATAAGGGATCTATCGAAAAAGGCTTTCTTTCTCGACAGATCCCTCTCTAGACTGCCACCTTTTGCCGACAAAGTGCTGAGTTGGCAAAACGGGGTGGCCATTTTTATGCAAATAAGGCACGGGATATTTAAATCTCTGCCTCATTTGCAATGTCGACCAGCCTAATCTGCATCCCTCTGCCAACAGAGGGATGCAATCTAGACATACCCTTGGGGATTTCTGTGAGTTCTGCAGTGGCCTGTGTGCTGTGCATAGGGCCACCTGAGCAGCTAGGTACCAGGCTGCCTAGTAGCTGAGATCCAGGAGCAGCAGTGGTGGCCTGGACTGCCCCCACCTGGAGAGGCAGTGTCAGAGCCCTGGAGCAGCAGCAGTGACAGCAGGGCCCTACCTCACCCTCAAGTGGAGTGGCAGCAGTGGGATCTTGGGGCAACACCCTCCCACCCCCGCCTTTAGCAGTGGTGGGGCCCAGGACACTGCCCACTCTCTGCAGAAGCAGGACCCCAAACCTCTCCCAGTCCCAGCCAAGAGCAGCAGTACCTATGAGAGTGACCTACCCCAGAACCTAAGATTTAGTTTTATGTTTTACTTAAAGCCCTGGACAGGTCAGTCTGTGACTTTTTTGTGTATTGCCCTTGATCTACTTTTACTAAACTTTTACTAAAAATATCCATGACTAAATTGTAGCCTTGATAATACTATATGTATAGTGTGGATCCATAAATCCAGTGGAAAGGTTTTTGAATATCATGAGGATATACCTGACAGGTATCTGATAAATATACTTTGCACTCAAGAACAAAGATATTATCATAGGAGTGTCAAGAATAACACAAGATCATAAGAACTGTAAGATACTGTATCAAACAGATGCTGCAGGTTTGTACCAGCCTATAAAAACAATGGCCCTTGTTTATCACTGCCTTGCATCTTCTGTACGCATGTAAGTTCCGTGCACAGGAGGTGTAAAATGCTTTCAACATATGTTGCTCTCTCAGTTTGCACAAGCACAAATGTCTGCACAGATGTTGAAGAATAAGACCTTATCAGCTGAGCTGGGAAGTAGAGAGACAGGGAGGTTTTCAATCATACATAAAAAAATATAAATAATAAAAAAACCCTTAGTCTTGAACACCAAGAATGCTAGATTAACAATAAAGTGTTAAAATATATACTAGAAAGTATGGTAATGCATGTTTAAAATTCTTCTCATCTTCCATGTACTCCATAGGAGAGTCATAGATTGTCAAAGATTTTTTTAAATTACCCATCTCCACTTTTCTAAAATGTGCTCAGCAGAGAATGTAAGTCATCTCTCAAAATACCTGAAAAAACTAAACTTGAAGTTGACCAATTCATTTTGACATGACATTCTAAAAAAAAGTTAGAAGCATTTAACGTCAGTCAAAATTCTCTAACTTTCCTAACGCTCATATCTCATGAATGCCTTTTCTTATAATCCGTAGACTTCCCACCCACACCCAGATTCCTTTGGCAGAAGACCAAGTATGAGAAATATCGGTCAGCTGCATTTTGCTCCTAGGAAAAAGGGATTGTATGTCAAAATCAGTTAACCTAGTTCATGGGTATGCAAAGTGATATGCCAACCAGGCACCATATACTGTTACAATTACTATTACAATTAATGTGCTAGAATTTAGTTCAATAAAAATATCCCTTGAGAAGTAGAAGATGAAGCAAAGCTAGAATTTGTGGAGACTTTAGCTATATATTTTTTTGTAAATTGACTAATGATTAAAATGGAAAAAGCACATATTAAAGCTGCCATTCATGTCAGTGGGAACATAAATGGATCAAGTTCTGTATAAATTCAAAAGGGAATGACATTTGCAACACATAGTAGCATCAGCAGAGTGCCCAAGAATCCACATCAGGCTCTTTTTCTAACTAGGTTTGAAGTTCTACAATTCTCAATCTATCATCATGTATATTTATGAAACACAGAAGCAAAAAAGCATAATTGTGTATATGGATATTGATTTGTCTCAAGTAGCAAATCTGTTTCACTCCAACAACCCACGACATGACCATATACAAAGAAATGCATGGGCCTGATTTTCATTTACATTAAGGTTAAGTCTCCACTGCAAAGAAAAATCTGTGTCGCAAAGTCTCAGAGTCTAGGTCAACTGACTTGGGTTGATGTGTGTCCGGCCCACTAAATTCACAGCCATGAAAAATGCATCACAGATTGTGAAATCTGGTCTTTTGTGTGCTTTTACCCTATGCTATACAGATTTCATAGCAGAGACCAGAATTTCTCAAATCGGGGATTCTGACTCAAAAGGTAGTTGCATGGGGAGTGTGGTATTGCCACCCTTACTTTTGCACATCCTTTAGAGCTGGGTGGCTGGAGAAAAGCAGCTGTTGGCCAGGTGCCCAGGTTGAAGGCAGCATCTCACCATCAGCAGCACAGAAGTAAGGGTGGCAATACCATACTATGCCATACTTACTTCTGGGTTGCTGCTGGCGGTGGTTCTGCCTTCAGAGCTGGGTTCCCAGCCAGCAGTCACCATTCTCCAGCTGCCCAGCTCTGAAGTCTGAGCCTCCTACAAGCAACAGCACAGAAGTAAGGGTAGCAATATTGCAGCCTCTTCCCCCCCACTGCAGTCCCCTCTTTACAACTCTTTTTTGGATCTGGGCCCCTATAATTGCAACACAATGATATTTCAGACTGAAATAACTGAAATCCTGACATTTATTGTTTTTTAAATCCTATGACTGTGAAATTGACCAAAATGTGCTGAGAATTTGGTAGGGCCTCACTCATGCAGCTCGGGCTGTGGGGCTAAAAATAGCAATGTAGATATGCTTGCTCAGGCTGGAGCCCTGACTCTGAGACTCGGTGCTGCGGATTTTTCTTTGTCATGTAGACATACATGAACCACTGTGGCAGTGTAAAGGAAGTGTACATTACAGTTAAAGTTAATTAAATTACATTTACACCCATTTTAAGATACATTTATGATTCCACAGCAGTGTAAAGAGGTCTTGGAGTGAAGAAGAGTAAGGTCTCACGGAGGCCTTGTCTATACTAGGTGCTGGATTGATGCTGCAGCAATCGTTCCACTGCCTGTCAATTTATCATGTCTGCTGTAGACATGATTTATCAATCTCCGAGAGTACTCCTGTCAATGCTGGTACTCCACTAAGATGAGAAGAGTAGCTAGCGTAGCTGAAGTATTTGCATAACTGAAGTAGATCGACAGTGCAGGTAAAGGTAGACAAGGGCTGAGAAGAAATAAAATGCCCCAAAAGAAGAGGAGTAGAATGGGAGGCATATTAATAATTCCCCATAGCAACTACAATACTAATTAACATAGCAATTAGGCATTTGATCAACACCTGAAACATGGACTGCCTTGAAGTGCATACTGACCAATAGTGAGTTCATTATCAAGGTAAACTTTTATTTGTAAATAGACATAGAAAGTTATTACCACAAACAGTAAACGTTAATTCTAGTATCAAACTATTGAAAAATCAGAAAGGAGAAGGCAGAAGACTTTTTTAAATTGAAGTGTTTTTATCACAACATTTTGTCCCAGTATAGATTAATCAGAAAATATTTTGTGCCAACCTAAAGTGCAGGTTATGTTTCCTACACAAACAAATCAGCACTGAAATTATGTCTAGCCTGCATATTCTATTAGGACAAAATGACTAAAGGCCAAAATGCTGACGTTCTCTGCTGGTTGAACATTTTTATTAAGATTAATGTGAGTTATGAAAGGCCATCGTGAATGATGATGAGGTAGTAAATATACGCAGAACTCCAGAGATCACTGGGGATACCTTCAGACTGCATCCCTCTGCCGACAGAGGGATGCAAATCAAGCACTTCGAAAGTGCAAATGAGCCCAGGATTTAAATATCCCGGGCTTCATTTGCATACTCACGTTCGGGCGCTGTACAGGATGAGGAGTATAGAATCTTCCGAAAAAGCTCTCCACTGTCAGAAGAGCTGAAGCTAGACTTTACTTTAACTTTCGAAAGGATGTGTGCTCGGCCAGAGCCCGAATGTGAATATGCAAATGAAGCCCAGGATATTTAAATCCCAGTCTCATTTGCATTTTCGAAGCGCTTTATTTGCATCCCTCTGTTTGCAGAGGGATGCAGTCTGGAGGAAGCCTGGTTGTCATGACTGCAAGGCAGGAAAAGGCACCTGTAAATAAACTCAAAGAATGCACAACATCAAAGAAAGCTTTGAAAAATAACTATTTAGAATAAGCATGTATGATATAATGTTACTAGCCTGTATGTAGGCATGTCACTCAATGATGCCTGATTTGATGTTCCACATTAGAATATTGGTTCAAATCTAGGGCCCAGCATTCAGCAATGCTCAATGGCTGTTCTAACCATATTGGCCTGCCAAAATGCATCTAGTCAATTGGGCAATATGTGTATGTAGGAGGAAATATTAATTAATTTTCACAATTAATTATGTGAAGCAAAGGATTTTTATCATCCTCGTCATCATTTTAGCTTGCACAAACAAGTTAGATATTACAATTTGGTTTTATCTCTGGATGGGTGAGACAGCTTAATTCCCTGGAAAGGAGAAATAAGCCAAAGTAGCTTTATTACTATTCTTTAGTATCCACATAGGAATAGAAAATACCTCACTAAATAAGGAGCCTAATTCAAGCTGAGTTAAAGTTTGTCTTTCCATCAAAATATCACATTAGATGTTCTAACAGGAGGTGCTAAATGGTCCACCATCTCTGGCAATTAGATTGAGCTTCATAACTAAAATAATTATGACTATTTTAATAGACAAATATAAAATACATTATTTTTGTGCTTAAGAATTCCATGCAATCTACCCACCTCTCATCTTCACACAGGAAAAATACAGAGCATATCAATTGTTTTTAATTCATGATCCCTTTTTTCTAAGTTGACTCCATATTAGTTTTTAACTGTTCAAGATTTAGGGAAAGTAATAAAGAGAATGTATTCAATAGATAATTTTCCCCAGTTGTGGATGGTTTGAATAATGAAAATATACCAGGGCAAGGAAACACTACAAAAATGTAGAACGATTACTAAACTAGAAAACAGAGGAGTGAAAGCAAACACTGTTTTCCTTACTTTGGACTGGCAATATGGTGACCATCTTGCTACAAGGAACCCACAATTAGTCAGGAGATTGGCTTAGTGACCTAAGCATCAAGTTTGAAATACTTGTATTTAAAGAAACTCCAGATTTGAATGTTCCATAATCTTTCATTCTCTCAAGGTGATAGAATCACAAAGTTTACTTTGTTGAATCTTTTGGAAGGGATGTTATAAAACAGATTTTTACTTGCTGTCTTCTTGGACATTAAAAATCCAAGGTATTCTTAGTAAAAGCAGTAGCTTATCCTCATATCCTTGTTCAAGAAGTTCACTTTCTACTTATTGTCCGCTTGTCTTGGTGGGCATTGGATGTCCACCTATCTGCCTTTCTCTGTCCCAATGGTGACTTCCTCGTAGTGATGTAGTGCTTCCACCCTGTTCACATTCTGTCAGTTTGCTTGAAAATCCATGTATGTTGGGAGAGAATTAGGGTAAAAGTATCCATCCCATTTCTGACTCTCATCAAAACCTACAAAGAGGCTGCTCCAAAGGTCATCTACCACAGGGACTGAGAGAGAATATGTCTGGTAGGATTCTAAGACTTAAAGGGTGTTGTCCACATGTTTGTATATGCACTTCTCTGGGAATAGAACTGATGCATGCTGCCACTCAAGCTGATGTTTCATGTCCTGAGAAGGAGTCATGTACCTAGTGACCTATCTGAATTCCTTCACATTATATACATTCACATCTTCTGGTTACTTTTGCAGTCTCTGGTGGCACTAATGCATTAGGCTGACACTTGGTTCATGCTTGTTATTTTTACACCAATGTTTCTCAGATTGGTCCATGAACCCACCCTGAGAAAGCTGCTACTCGACCACTCCAGCTTGTTTACTTACTGGCTCCACCGCCCCAGAGCCTTGTGACTCCATTAGTTTGCTGTTTACAGCCAGAGGGAGCCGTGGGAAGTAGCATGACCCAGGCCGCTGCTTCCTACAGTGCCCATTGACTGCAAATGGCATACTACATCCAATGGGAGCTGCAAGGCTCCATGGCTGTGTAGCCGGCAAGTAAACAAACTGGAGTGGCCCAGGAGCAGCCTTCTCAGAGTGGATCTGTGGACCACTCTGAGAAACACTGTTTTAGGGTAAAGGATGCTATGTACATTTAAGATTCTATCAGTACTGTTTATTACATGGAGCTTGAATTCTTGGTATTTTTTTTCTTATGCCAGTTCTCTCTTTTCACCATGTCTCAGGGATCCAGAAGCTGTCAAAGTAGCTGACACCAAAAAAGAGGGAGAGTAATTCAGGTGAGAATTACCAGAGTCATTCAGGTGAGAAATTCAGAGCTCTCATTGCAGGTGAGTAATAATAGTTTCTGTCACTAGCTGCACTAAGCACAGTGCATGACAAAGCAAGATAAAATACGGGTGCATGCTATGAATACATGCGACTCTCTACTCAACCCTTTAGTGAAGTATACCAAACTGGATCATTCAGCAACATAAAATTATAATTTACTCATGTCTCTGAGTCACTGAAGGGGCAATGAATATACTCTCCACTAGCAGACTTTGGAGTCATTATGGTCTATAAAGTGAATACTAGTATGAAAATCAAAGTTTTCCTGATGTCAGACTATGGCAAGATGAAAATCTTGGCGCTAAATTCAGCCCAGATCTATGAAATTTGAAAGTAAATGCACATAACTTAAATGTAGTTCTCCAATGGCAGTGTACGTGACTTTTGGGTGAATAAAGGTTTGTTCAGAAATATTTATGCATGGGCTGAAAGACATAGGGTGAAATCCTGGCCCCCAAAAGCTCAATGGGAGCTTTGCTATCAAATTCAATAGGGCCAGGATTTCACCTTTGATCACATAGAAAAGGGGAATAATTGTCCTAAAAATGACCAGCAGACACATGCAAGTTGCTGTGAGAGAAGCTGCAGGGACTAGCATTGTGATGAGTGATGTGATGAGCCAGCCCAACTCATGTGATCTTAGCCTATGACAACAGAATTTCTACTGCCCTGAATATAGCTAATAAAAAATCAAAGTACATGTTGCTACCTGCACCAAACAGGCTTTAAGAGATATTGCCAGGATTTGGTGAGTAGCTGAGAGAGTTGCATATTTAGTAGGGACTTTAGGAAGGTACTTGGTGCTCACATCTCCCTCATTTAGGCCCAATCCATTTAAGTGCTTAAGCACAAACTTAACTTTTATCTTTGTTGAATAGGGATGAGACTACTCAAGTGCTTTAAGTCATGCAGATGCCCTACTTAGGGTACGTCTAGACTACAGACTTTTGTCGACAGAAGTTTTGTCGACAGATACTGTCGACAAAGCTTCTGTCGACAAAGAGCGTCTAGACTACATTCAGTTCTGTCGACAAAGCAAGCTGCTTTGTCAACATGGCAGTGTAGATGCAAAGGACAGTTTAGATGCAATAATGCCTTCTGTTGACAGAACTCTGTCGACAAAAGGCATTATTCCTTGTAAAATGAGGTTTACCAGCGTTGACAAAACTGCTGAGTTCTGTCGACGTTATGTCGACAGAACTCAGCGGTAGTGTAGACGCAGGTTTAGCTTTGTCGATAAAAGTCCACTTTTGTTGACAAAACCCTGTAGTCTAGACACACCCTCTGTCAATAAGGTCTTCGGGGCAGGAATTGTCTTTTTGTCCTGTGTTTGTACAGTACCTAACACAGTGGAGTCCGGGGCCAGGACTAGGGTTTCTAGGCACTAAGGTAATAAAATAATAAAGAATAACAAGTGCTTTCTCAGGGCCCTATGCAGCTCTAGCTGAAGCATTCCATGGGGATAGAATTCCCAGGCAACAGGTCCCTACAGCAAGGGATAGGAGAGTCATCAGCATTGCCATAATTGAAATTAACTGTGTGTTGTTTCAATTAATTGTTCCAATTAGTCTCTCCGTTTCTTTTCAGTTATGCCTTTCTACAACAATGCCACCCGGGATGCTGCTGGAAATTGAAAATACTCTAATGGCCAGGTGCTCTTCAATTAAAAAGCTTTACTATTTCTAATTAGCTTTCTGCCATGTTTTCATTGTAATAGTGAGAAGTTTCATCGGTGGAATGGATGGGGAGTTGTCATTACAAGAATGGCGTTGCATTAGAGATTCCATTATTAGAGTGTGTGTGGGGTGGGGGGAGGAAATAATAGAAAAAAAAAGAACTAAACTGGTGTGTTTTTAGCTGGTGAAACTTTCTAGTTCACTTTTATTAACTCAGCACAATGGTATGATATATGGGTTGCAAACGATAAGGAAGAACTTTAAACTCTTGTTCCCTCTACCAAACAACCAGCCAAACAAACCAAGTCCAAACACTCATCTCGGTAGGCCAGATCCTGATCCAGGAAGGAGGACAGCTTAGAAGAGATGGTGTCCATCTCACCAAGAAAGAGGGGAGCATCTTTACATACTGACTCACCAACCTAATGAGGACTGTTTTCAACTAGGATCAATGAGGGGCAGATGATAAAAATCCACAGGTAAGCATAAAAACAGTGACCCGAAGAGAGTGCTAAATATTGGAGAGGACATGGAAAATTCCAGTGAGGTCAAAGGAACAACAAGAGAAAAATCAGTGGGAGAATCTGCTCAAATGCAGATGTCTATGCACAAGTGCAAGAAGTATGGGGAACAAACTGGAAGTACAAATACATGAGCTAAACTGGTGACTTAACTGGTATTACAAAGATTTGGTGGGATAAATCTCCTGACTGTAATATTGGTGTAGGAGGGTATAGCTTGTTCAGGAAGACAGGCAGGGAAAAGAAGAGGTGTGTATAGTAAAAGCTATGTTATCCAGCATGTTGGGTAAATGGAGGGAGGGAGTTTCAGTTAATCAAATATGCTGGTTAACTGAGAGTTGTATGTTCCCGATGGAATACTAATGTTCAAAGCACTAGCATACAATAAAATGAATAAAATATAAAATAGTATACAGGCACTTCATTTGCACTTTTTAAGTGCTTCATTTACATCCTTCTGCTGACAGAGGGGTGCAGTCTAGACACACTCTAGGGCTACGTCTACACTGGCCCCTTCTCCGGAAGAGGCATGCTAATTTCGAACTTTGGAATAGGGAAATCCGCGGGGGATTTAAATATCCCCCACGGGATTTAATTAAACATGGCCGCCGCTTTTTTCCCGGCTTGGGGAAAAGCCGGAAAAGAGCGTCTAGACTGGCGCGATCCTCCGGAATAAAGCCCTTTTCCAGAGGATCTCTTATTCCTACTTGAAAGTAGGATCTCTTGAAAGTAGGAATAAGAGATCCTACGGAAAAGGGCTTTATTCCGGAGGATCGCGCCAGTCTAGACGCTCTTTTCCGGCTTTTCCCCAAGCCGGGAAAAAAGCGGCGGCCATGTTTATTTAAATCCCGCGGGGGATATTTAAATCCCCCGCAGATTTCCCTATTCCAAAGTTCGAAATTAGCATGCCTCTTCCGGAGAAGGGGCCAGTGTAGACGTAGCCTAGTGGTGTGCACTGCACTGCAGAGTGTTTGGGTTTTCTGAAGAACTTAAGTGTATACAGGTAATGTTTTCTATGCAGTAGGTTATCATCATTTTATACACATGGGGTGCATCTAGACTGGCAAGATTTTGCGCAAAAGCAAATGCTTTTGCGCAAAAACTTGCCAGCTGTCTACACTGGCCGCTTGAATTTGTGCAAGAGCACTGACTTTGTAATGTACAAAATCAGTGCTTCTTGCGCAAATACTTTCACGCTCCTGCTCAAGAAAAAGCCCTCTTGCGCAAGAATACTTGCTCAAGAGGGCCAGTGTAGACAGGGAAGAACTGTTTTGCGCAAAAAAGCTCCAATGGCTAAAATGGCAATCAGGGCTTTCTTGCACAAAATTGTGTCTAAAAAAAAAATTGCACTTTTTGCGCAAAAGCATCCATGCCAATCTAGACGCGCTTTTGCGGAAATACTTTTAACAGAAAAACTTTTCCATTAAAAGTATTTCCGTAAAATCATGCCAGTCTAGATGCAGCCATTGTGTACACCCCAATCACTAAAAATACACAACACTAAAACTATACTGAACTTAACGTAATCTTTCTTTGATGACTCGTAAAGCACTTTAGGATCTTGAAGTGCCTCAGGGTCATTGTTATCAACATAAGTTATCATTATAGATGTAGAAGATTTAGGAGATTGGTCTGAATTTGTAATGACTTTATGACACAGCCTGGAAGCTGCTTTTTTAAATAAATCTCGGATTTGAAGCTTGTTTCTTTGTCTTCTGCCTCTTTTGCAGTAGAATGCAGAGTGTGCAGTTGCACAATGTGCTGAGCAGTATACTAGCCTTGGTTAATAGACCAAAGATTTGTATGGGGAGGTCTCAGGAATTCCGGGTAACTGGTTAACTGATTGCTGGATAACACAGCTTTTACTGTAATATATTCTTGATCTATAACACATCTTATTCTGAGGTCCAGCAGGAGGTGAGAGGCAGGCTAATTGAAAATTTCTATGTAAAGACAAAAGGGGGGAAAGTAGGTGTTATATACAGGCAGTCCCCGGGTTACGTACAAGATAGGGACTGTAGGTTTGTTCTTAAGTTGAATCTGTATGTAAGTCAGAACTGGCATCCAGATTCAGCCGCTGTTGAAACTGATCAGTTTCAGCAGCAGCTGACTTGGGGATGCCTGGGGTTCTTAAGTTGAATCTGTATGTAAGTCAGAACTGGCATCCAGATTCAGCCGCTGTTGAAACTGATCAGTTTCAGCAGCAGCTGACTTGGGGATGCCTGGGGTTCTTAAGTTGAATCTGTATGTAAGTCAGAACTGGCATCCAGATTCAGCCGCTGTTGAAACTGATCAGTTTCAGCAGCAGCTGACTTGGGGATGCCTGGGGTTCTTAAGTTGAATCTGTATGTAAGTCAGAACTGGCATCCAGATTCAGCCGCTGTTGAAACTGATCAGTTTCAGCAGCAGCTGACTTGGGGATGCCTGGGGTTCTTAAGTTGAATCTGTATGTAAGTCAGAACTGGCATCCAGATTCAGCCGCTGTTGAAACTGATCAGTTTCAGCAGCAGCTGACTTGGGGATGCCTGGGGTTCTTAAGTTGAATCTGTATGTAAGTCAGAACTGGCATCCAGATTCAGCCGCTGTTGAAACTGATCAGTTTCAGCAGCAGCTGACTTGGGGATGCCTGGGGTTCTTAAGTTGAATCTGTATGTAAGTCAGAACTGGCATCCAGATTCAGCCGCTGCTGAATCTGACCAGCAGTGGCTGAATCAGGACGCCTGGGGCAGAGCAGCTGGGGTGCTGCTGGGTTGGTCCAGTAGCGCCCAGAGCGGCGCTACGGGACCAACTGGCAGCGCCCCACTGCTGTACCACAGGTGTCCGGAGCAAAGCCGCGGAGCACGGGGGCAGCGGGACAGCCCAGACGCGCCGTGGCTGTCCTGCTGCCCTCGGGCTCCGTGGCTTTGCTCTGCTTTGCCCCCGTCCCCGTCCCCCTAGTCTGCAGACCAGGGGGACGGGGGGAGGGCAAAGCAGAGCCAAGCCTCGGAGTGCGTGGGCAGCGGACAGCCCTGTCCGCTGCCCACGTGTTCCGGCACTTTGCTTCCTCTCCCTGGTCTGCTGGAGACCAGGGAGAGGAACGGCCCCGTTCGTAACTGCGGATCCGACATAAGTCGGATCCGCGTAACTCGGGGACTGCCTGTAATGGTAAAGCTCTACTATAGACCATTAAATCAGAAAAAGGAGGTGGCTGGAGTATTTCTAGAACAAATAACAGAAATTTCAAGAATAGACCTGATAGTAATGTGAAACCTTAACCAGACATCAGTTAGAAAAGGAATATGTCAAAATATAATGTCACCAACACATTCCAAACATTTAATAGACAGTGTTTTGTGTCAGAAAGTGGAGGCGGTAACCAAGGGGACAGCCATTTTAGACTTGATTCAGACTAGAAGGGAGGCATGCTAATCTGAAGGTAATTTGGGTAAATGTGATCATGAAATTATAGATCTCATGATTCTAAGAAAAAGAAAGGGAGAGCAACAAAATATAGAGTACAGAAAATTAAAAAAAAGACTTTAACAAATCCAAAAAACTAAAGGAAAACATTAGGAGGCTGATATGGCAGCATTAGGAGCTGATCTGTAAATCAAAAAGGAATCCTACAATATGTGGAAACATGGACGAGTTACTAAGGAGGTGTACAAATGAATAGCATAAGTATGTAGGGACAGAATCAGAAAGGTCAAGGCACAAAGCTGAGTTACATAAAGGGGACATAAAAAAAGAGATTCTTTAAATGCATTAGATGACAAATGAAGGAAAATATAGAGCTGCTTAGTGAGGAAGGAGAACTAATAACCAATGACATCAAGAAGGTGTTGAATGCTTATTTTTGCTTCAGTTTTCACTGAAAAAGTTAATGGTCACAGGATACTCAACACAATATTAAAAAGAGGGAAGGAATAGGTTAAAGACTATTTAAGTAAGTTTGATGTTTTCAAGTCAGCAGGCCTTGATGAAATTCATCCTAGTTTCCTTTGGAACAGGTAGCAATTCTCTTTGGGCACATCTAAACTGCGGCATTATTTTATAATAACAGGGTGTAAGTCCACACATCAAGCCTGTTATTTCGAAATAATGGGCTTCTTATTCTGATTTCCGTAACCCTCATTTCAGGAGGAGTAAGGGAAGTTGAAGGAAGAGTGTTCTTCCTTTGACTTTCTGCCATGTAGACAGGACCAAAAGCTGAGTTTAGCTACTTCGACTTCAGCTTTGCAATTAACGTAACTGAAGTTGTGTGTCTTAATTTGATGTTAGCCCTCAGTTTAGATGTACCCTGAGGTCCTGGAAGAATGGAGAAGGGAAAACATAGACCTATCTTTTAAAAAGGGAACATAGAGGATGTAGGGAATTATGGACCCATCAGCCTAACTTCACTACCTGTCAAGATATTGGAACAGATTATTAAACAATCAATTTGAATGCACCTAAAAGATAAAATGATTATCAGGAATAGCCAGTATGGAATTGTCATGAACAAATCATGCCAAGCCAACCTAATTTCCTTCCTTTCTTGACTTTTAGTAAAGGCTTATCTGCACTTTACACCTCTACAGAAATATAGCTGCATGCACTGCTGTAGCTCTTCAGTGTAGACACTGTCTATGTCAATGAGAGGAGTTCTCTCATCATTGTAGGTAATACACCTCCCTGACATACAAGGGTACTGAAACAATTTGTATAGTGGGGGTGCTGAGAGCCATTGAAACAAACTGTACACCCTGTGTATGGTGAAAACCACTTCAAGCCAGGGGGTTCTGCTACACCCCCTATCAGTCCTAGTTCCAGCATCTATGCTGAGAGGCAGTAGCACCGTCAGTTCGGGGATTTAGGTTGGCTTAACTACACTGCACAGGATGTGGACTTTTCACACTGCTGACCAACTGAGGTAATTTTCTAGGGACGAGGCCTTAGACTTAGTATTTATTTAGGTTTAGACACAGTGCCTCAAGACATTTTCGTAAGTGAACTAGGACAATATGGCACAGATTAAATTACTACGAAGTGGACACACACCTACTTGAAAGACCATACTCAGAGAGTAGGAATTATTGGTTCTCTGTCAAGCCGAGGATGTATCTTGTGGGATCTTGTAGTGGTAAGCCCTGGGTCCAGAACTATTCAATATTTTCATTATTGACTTGGATAATGGACTGGAGAGTCTGCTTAAAGAATCTGCTGATGTCATCACGTGGGGGGAGGGTGTTGCAGACACTTTGGAGGACAATGTGAGAATTCAAAATGACCTAGACAAATTAGATAATTGGTCTGAAATCGACAACAGGGAATGAAATAAAGATAAGTGCAAAGTGCTAAGGAAAGAAAAATGCATACCTATAACATGGGGGATAACTGGGTAGGTGGTAGTACTGCTGATACGGAATTTAGGATTATTGTGTGACACAATCTGAGTATGAGCCAACAATGTGATGCAGTTCTCTAAAAGGCTAATGGTCTGTCATGTGTTAACAGGAGTGTTATATGTAAGACCTCAGAGATAATTGTCCTGTCCTGCTTGGCACTGATGAGGCCTCAGGTGGAGTACTGTCTTCAATTCTGGCTGCCACACTTCAGGGAAGAGGAGGCTATTGGAAAGAGTACAAAGCAGAGCAACAAAAAATAATAAAAGTTTAGAAAATCTAATCTCTGAACAAAGGTTAAACACACTGGGCATGTTGCATCTTGAAAAAAGACAGAGGGTGGAGATGAAAAGAACTGTCAAATGTCAAGGGCTTTTATAAAGAGGACTGATCAGTGATTCTCCATGCCCACTGTATGCAAGACAAGAAATAATGGACTTTATCGGCAGCAAAGGAGATTTACAGTGATATTAGGAAAAGCTTTCTAACTATTATGCCAGTAAAGCTCTGGAATAGGTTTACAGGGGATTTGTGGAATCCCCATCATTGAAGGTTTATCAAAGAGATGGGACAAACACCTGTTGGAAGTATTCTGTGTTTATTTCATGCCACCTCAGTGTAGTAGTTGAGCTAGATGACCTTTTGAGGCCCCTCCCAGCTGTGTATTTGTATTATTTACTAGTTACTCATTTATGAATTAAACTAGAATTTGTACTGACATTGTTCATTCACCACATGCACTGTTAAAAATGTCCCTCCTGAGAAGGACTACCTCTGATTCCAAGGAGGAGTGACATGATTTTGAAGTCAGGGCATGGCCATGTGGATTTCACACCCTTAGATTGAAGTATACCACTCCAGTCAGCAAAACTCTTTCTGGAGATGGAGTCACCACCTTGCACTTCACTCAAGGCCAGTGGGCTGCTTGCAAGTTGTGGAGCAGGGCAGGGCTTGTGATCTCTCCCACTCAGTAGCTGTTTATGTGACTCACTGCAGGCTGGGATGCTCAGGTATGCTGTTGTGCAGATCTTCAGAAATGATAGGAACGGGACCCTTTGTTATCCTTTCTTCTCATTCTCTGGTCATCGATGCCAACAGCAGCCAAAACATATTGAAACCCAAAGGAAGAACAACATTGGTTAAATAGCCATATTATTTTAATTAAAACAGAGAAAGTTTCTCTCTGAGTCATTGCTTATGCTACTGTATCATAGCAACATTGTTTTGGTGTTTATATAAATCCCAGTTAATCAACCTTTAGTTAGCCCAAATTCCCGGTGAACTAAGGATCAATCATGCTTCTCTATCCTAAACCTTATTTTCCTAAAGGGTTCTTAAGTCTCTGAAACTCTTAAGAAAAACAGGCTTATACGTTGCTTGAAATAAACAATTTTTGCAGTGGATCAGACATCTGATCTTTGCCTTGGTGTTTAATGAGCTTCAAGTACTGTTTATTGTTCTGTTTGTTTCAGTGCGATCCAAGAAATGGCATCAATCACTGATAAAATAGGAAGATCAAAAAGCACCTTTTTGGTGTATTATCACAGTAAACAAGACTCCTTTTTTATCTTGTTCATATTTCCAACACACTGCCAAAATATTTTGTTTCTTTCATCCACTGAGATAAAAAGAGCCTGTAGACAAAAATGCTCCAAAGATGGAATGCCATAATGGGAATTTCCTGAGAGGAGGAGCTCTCCTGTTGGTGAGGATATTTTTAGGGGGATACCTCTTGAGTCATGTAGAAGACAACCCCTTCACCCACTGGTCCAACATATACACGCATCACTTAATAATTTTCTTGTCTTTGAGGGAAAAGGCTGCCCAGGAAAAGGCAATATTTGATAAATTATATATGCTACCTGTACTCAAAAACATTGTCAGGACCCTATCCATTTGCTTACTCCTACATGACTCCTGGAAATCCAGTACAGTGGTCCCATCAATAATTAGTGATAAAGATTAACAAAATGAAAACCTACCAGCAGATAGAGCCCACTCTTTACTCATCTTCTGTATTTGTACTGTTTTCCATTCTCCCACCATGCTGGAGAGTAGATATTGAAAAAAAAAAAAAAAAGCTCTGTACACAGGGGTTCTGATGTCCTTCCCATTCCATTTCCTTCCCTAACTATTCCTCATTGGATCCCATTGCCAGTGCTACTCCCACTCTGTGCAGAGATTCTTTAACTGATCTTGCCGTCTGTTTTCTCTATGGCATTCTGTCCACATACTAAAGCTCTGATGGCTTCAGTTACTCCAGGCTTCCCTCGTTTCCTTCCTTCCTGGCCCGGAAATATCTTTGCTTCCTACTCCATCTACAGCTTGCATCCTAAACGGAACCTATTGCATGAAGTGGGATGTGCCCAACAGTCATCGTCCGCAATGGAGAAAAGGTGGGGTAAAACTTTTACAAAACAGCATTCTGTGTTCAGGTGGGGGATGGGAAACAAAGGTTTCATGTAATGCTGAACTTCAAAACCTTAGCTCTGCAAGTATTATAGATGAATATCCAAAGTGAATACTAGGACATGAGTGAAAGGGCAGAGATAACATCATTTACAACAATAGTTTCTAGATACTTTGTTAAATTTATTTAACATTGGGGGTCTCCTTAAATGTTTGTGTATGCCTCGTTTAGAGAGTTCAAAGAATTAAAAATAAGATATTTCTCAAGGTAAAGCTGTTTGTTCTGTTTTGTACATGAGCTAGAGACCTTGCAATGTGTACATTTTAAGAAGTCATTAAATAAATACTATTTCAAAAACATTCATTGCTCATTTCTGGCAAAACTTTCAGTATGGTGTGTCGTGATCCAAAACACTGTAAACGAAAGCTCAGATCCTCAGTGATATTTAGATACCTAACTCCTATTTAAATCATTGGGAGTTAGGTGCCTGAATATTTTTCATGATCCTGGCCTAAACTTTCAAAGGACTCTCCAAACTCCACACTCATAGAACAGTTCAGTGTTTGGATAATGCTTGTTTGTGTTCACTGAGGAGATCTTTGCGTGTACAAATGCAATACCATACATGCCTTTCTCATGGTTCTTTGTCCCAGGTTGCTGGTGATTTTGGTGTGCTAGGACACACTCCTTACTTTTACAATTCAAGGATATTTGGTTTCCCTTTGAGGCTCTGCATTGAGTAAGCTCTTTAAGGGAACATGATCTTTCCATGAGACTTCTGGGGGCACAAAATGGTTTTGCAGGCTGAACCACTTCCATGTTGACTGGGACTATCACTCTGCCTCCTAAATCCTTTTGGGAGTGATTTAGGGTAAATGTAGGGAACAGTCCCTATGCTCCTGTGGGTCAGACACTGCAATGGTAACTAGCCTGGTGCAGAACATATGAAAACAGGAGGCGCCAAGCACCATCCTATGCACACATACTGATTGAAAATAAAAACCTGAGATATTTTAAAAATGAAAGCGAATTAAATTTGTAATACACTGTAATGAATATGGCCCAGTGCGGAATACAATCCCAACACTAGCAACTTGTGTTAATAACTGAATTCTAACAGGATTAACAAATAAGCTGACTCTAAATGCCTTTCCATGGGCTTTACAATGAAAGGGCCAAAGCCAGATATGGGTGCCACCTAGCAGCTTTTGCTGAGCAGCAGTACCATGTGGCTTCTTATTCCAAAGCATGTGGGCCCAAATTCTGCTCTCGGTTATATTGGTATCATTGAGATTGGTTTTGCTTATAGAAAAGCCACTCTGCAGACCTTCTGTGAAAGGAAATCTTAGTTCTAATTCTAATTACATTTTAATTAATTGAGTGCAGGGGACTGGACTAGCTGACCTCTTACGATTCTGTGATTCTTGGGGGGAACTTGAATGATGGACAAAAGGGAATGTCTCTGGACTAAGCACCAGTCTGTGGATACATCCAGCATAGATTATCCCTGTGTGTGTGGTGGGGAAAGGATGGGCTATGTGTGGGGCTGGAGTTGGCCAGGGTATGGGACACACACTAATGCTGTTTTCACCAAATATTGTTTGTGTTGCTTGTTGTTTTGGGACCCCTTCATGTAGTTCCAGAAATGCCTATGAATCAAAATACAAAAGTTTTTTTTTAACTTCTCTGAATTTTTCAGCAGAAAGCAGCAGCCATGTTTTATTATTAATTGTTATTATTATTATTATTGTATCCATAATCTCAGGAAAAAGTACATAATTACAGGTAATGCCTGATAATACCTGTCTCAGTTACCCCAGGTATTTCACTACAGCTGTCTCTTTTCACATCATAACTTTTTGAAATACTCTCCTTCTTGGCTGGAATTGTGTATGTTTGGAGTCATCCCAAAAGAGAAGTTGATGTTTTGGAACATATTTCTTAAGGATTTCAAGTCAGAAGACTTGGTATGGAGACACACACTCATATTCACTGGACATGCTATACTCCAACGAGTCAGAGTTACAAGATCAACAATTCTTTGTTCAGGAAATGGCAAAATAAGGATTTGAATGTAGTAGCAAAGCAGAAAGCAAATATTCTAATTAAATTTTACACTATATACCTACCTCAAAACGGCAAAGGAATCTGCACCAATTATATGTTCCTGTGCATTTCAGACTTCAGGTTGAATCTCCCTAGTCCGGTGCACTCTAGTCTGGCAACATCCTTGGTCTGACATGATTTCAGTTTGCTGGAGTCCACCTATATCATGGGTGTGGCTAAGTTTTCCACAGTTCCATAAAGTTTGTTTACAGCCACCAGTCCTGGCTCTCAGTGTGCTGTGATGTTATTTAGCTCTAATTTACCCCAAGGCTACACTGGCAGCTTCTTGTGCAAGAACTGTTTTGTGGAAGAGTTCTTGTGCAAAAAGTCTTCCACAAGAGCGCGTCTACTCTGGCATGTGCTTTTGCGCAAGAGATGTACTTTTGCGCAAGAGCATCTATGGCAGTATGGACGCTCTCTTGTGCAAGAAAGCTCTGATGGCCATTTTAATCACAGGGGTTTCTTTTGCAAGAAATTCATGTTGCCTGTCTACACTGCCTTCTTGTGGAAGAGCTCTTGTGCAAGACGGCTTATTCCTCGTGGGGAGAGGAATAACTCTTCCAGAAGAAGGCCTGTTTTACAATGCTATACTATAAATTTACTTGCACAAGAATGCGCGTTTTTGCGAAAAATGGCTGTTCTTCCACAAGAAGCTGCCAGTGTAGACATAGCCCAAATGTCTTCTAAGAGCCCAGTAAGCAATGGAAGTGTTGGCAGGCTCTCTCAGAGAATGACAGAGGCCCAGATCATGTACAGTATGATGCGGGCTAATTTGGCTACGACAAATCAGGAAAGAGATCTTGGAGTTATCATGGACAGTTCTCTGAAAACTTCCACACAGAGTGCAGTGGTGGTCAAAAAGGCAAATAGGATGCTAGGAATTATTAGGAAAGGGATAGAAAATAAGACCCAGAATATCTTACTGCCCCTGTATAAAACTATGGTATGCCCACATCTTGAATACTGTGTACAGATGTGGTCTCCTCACCTCCAAAAAGATATTTTGGCCTTGGAAAGGGTTCAGAAAAGGGCAACTAAAATGATTAGGGGTTTGGAACGGGTCCCATATGAGGAGAGGTTAAAGAGACTGGGACTTTTCAGTTTAGAAAAGAGGAGACCGAGGGGGGATATGATAGAGGTCTATAAAATCATGAGTGGTGTGGAGAGGGCTGATAAAGAAAAGTTATTTATTAGTTCCCATAATAGAAGAACTAGAGGACACCAAATGAAATTAATGGGTAGCAGGTTTAAAACTAATAAAAGAAAGTTCTTCTTCACACAGCGTGTAGTCAACCTGTGGAACTCCTTGCCAGAGGAGGCTGTGAAGGCTAGGACTATAATAGAGTTTAAAGAGAAGCTGGATAAATTCATGGAGGTTAGGTCCATAAAAGGCTATTAGCTAGGGGATAAAATGGTGTCCTTGGCCTCTGTTTGTCAGAGGCTGGAGAAGGATGGCAGGAGACAAATCGCTTGATCATTGTCTTCGTTCCACCCTCTCTGGGGCACCTGGTGCTGGCCACTGTCGGTAGACAGGATACTGGGCTAGATGGACCTTTGGTCTGACCCAGTACGGCCATTCTTATGTTCTTATCATGTTGATTTTAGAGGCCCCTGCCCAGCCCCAGGCCTCCAATGTATGTAACTTCTCATCCACAGAGTCATATTAAAACCAAAAGAATATATGAAAATGAACATTTGAGACATTTATTTAACAACAATTAAGCCATTATACCAATAGCATGTCTATTAAAATATAACTTTAATTGTGAGTTCCTGCTGCAAAAAATCCTCTTTATTTTAGGAATGCTCTTCTGACTTTGTTGTGTGCAAACTCATTTATAATTTAAGAAAAATCTAATTTATGTGCAACATCACTATTAATTTTAAGCATTGTGAGCCCATTCATACGCTCTTGTCCCACTGTAGAATGATGATAGTTCTTTACTTGTTTTAATTTGTTGAATGTGTAGTCACTTGAAGCCGCTGATGCAGGGAAACTGGCAAAAATATGTAATACAATTGTGATATTAGGAAATACAGTCAACAGGCCGAGATCAAAATTTATTGCGGTGACTCGAATCAATGTGTAACACCAGATTTGATGGAGTCAATAATAACAAATTGACTCAATAGTGCCATGAGATGTTAGGCTGCGATTGGTGGAAAACTCAGATGAAATGTCAATATCCTGTGCTACTGATTTGGACTCAGAAAAAATTACATCTCCTTGATCAGAAATCTTTTGAATATCTTTAAGAAGTCATTTAATGTTATCTCTCTCAACTTCTATTGCAACATTATATGTTTCAATTACAAGATTAGTTTCATAGATCATTTTTAGCACCTTCATCCACATGGACAAGATTAAAATACATACAAATTTGGATGTATACTTCTGAATTGATTTAAGCTCAGTGCAAACCCGTGAAGTGAAAGTAAGAGATTCAAACTCACTTAAAGCCTTTCTCACAGAGTCCAAATGGTGTGCAACTGGCTTAATGCCATCAATTCAAGCTGACCATCTCGTTGTTGACAAGCTGTGAAGGGAAACAGGGAGATGCTGCTTCAGAATTTCCCACTTTTGAGGACTGTCACTGAAGAGATTGTACAATTGTTGGATTGTTCCCAAGTATATGATTGCTTCCTTGCATGATTCAGCACAATGCAGGCTTGAAAATATAATTTGAAGCCTTCCAGAATATCTAATGCATGAGCAGCGATTTCTTTTTCCAGTTTTTTTCATGAAATTATCTAACAAAAATGAATCATCCTTCAACTGAAACCTTTGAACTTCCTGCAATTTTAACATATTGAACAACCAAAGTCATCTGTTCTTTATGAGAGCAGTCTGGAATTGCATCAATAATAATTGAAAAGTACTTCACATGTTGTACCTCTTCAAGAATTGTTATTTGCACAACTGTCCCACACAGATCACTACACTTGTTTTGTATTCTGGTAGACAGATAATGGGCTTGCATGTGTTTTCCGCTCTCTTGTGATTCACAAAAATGCTTAAAATGGCTTGATAAAAGTGGGTCATACTTGCTAAGGAGTATATCAAGAAAGTTTCTGTTTATAGAATCACCAATACATTGACTGGAACCAAACAAAGCCATCCCCATTCAGAAAGAAAAAGAATGACATTCAATATGTGTTCAAGGAGTTTTTTCCAGTTATCAGTTTCTGTGTTTATTTCACACAGGAGTAAGTTTTCAATTGAACTGTCAGCTAGTGCTGCTCTACTAGCTGATTCCCATGTAACATACTTATTTTCAGGGCTCGACAAACCGTGGCAAAATCCACTTGCCAGCCCTGTATTGCACATGCACCAGACCCACATTGCGCATGCACGTACCGCCGGTGAACAGGGCGACCGGCTGAAATCTATTATGCAATACTGAAGTTTCATGTGCAGGTATTTGGTCTTTCAACTTCCTCCATCCTCTACTGATGCTCCAACTGGATGGATAAGACGGTACTGATGCATTTGAAGTATTA